TACATACTAATTATGTTGAAAAAATAATGTACCTATTACTTGTTTGTTTTATGAAAAACATAATTTACCTAGTATGAAAAGTGTACATAATTATCTATTCCAAATAATGTACCTATACACATTTACAGGTATATTGTAAAATAATTTACCTGTGGGTAAATAATGTACCTATATTTTATACAAATTATTGTGTACCTATTTTTAATTATGAAAAATATATGCAATTACAAAGTAACTGACTTTGTTTTTTTTTTTTTGGTAAATAATATACCTATATTTTATATGTATATATTTATATTATATTTTTCATAGGTACATTATTGGATATGTAATTTACAGATTTTTGTTTTGTTTGCAATTTTAGTGGGCGAGATGTGAGAGGGAATGACAACTAAAAGAAATGGGGTGATTGATATGCTATTAATAGGGAGTATATTAATTACAATTATGGCAGTTAATGAAATGCTTGAAATAAAATTATAAATAAAATATGAAGTTTAGTGGCAACGATGTAAAAACATAGAAATACTACGACCTTTTATATCCTACTGGTTATTTAAATTTGAAATTGGGTGTTACCCAAAGATTTATAGAATGATGGGTATATGTCTAGGAAATAGAAAATGTAGGGATCTATATTGGACAAGCCCTATTAATAATGATGTTGTTTGTTTTTTCTAGTATGGTAATATCGGTATTACTATTAATGACGACAGAAGCGGCAGGTGTAGGAGGAGGTGGTGGTTTAGGGGTTAAGCTGCTAGCAGCTGCCAATGTTACAATTCCAGCTATGTTTATGTTTGGAGATTCGATCGTTGACACAGGCAACAATAACGACAATCTCAAAACACCAGCTCGCTGCAATTTCCCTCCATAGGGCAGGGATTTCCAGGGAGGCATACCCACTGGCAGATATTCCAACGGAAAGGTTCCCTCTGACTTCATAGGTTGTGCATCTTTCGCTGCTGCATCAATAATCTCTCTCTCTTTCTGTTTCTTTTTCACTCTCATTCTCGTGGTCAATTGGTCATCCACTCATTTGACCGTCAGTTTAATTAGTTACCAGAAATATCTAGCACCGTCTTTCCTTTGTTGCAACTTGCTAGAAAGATTTCAAAAGGATATTTAGTTGGTTGTCAATTGGCAAATCAGTTAACATCATATCTAATCTTATTAATTACTCCAACGTGCCCTAGTCTCCGAGTTGTCAAATCTGTTCTTTTGTGTACTTCGCCAGTTGTCCAAATCTTACTTGTAGTTTTTTTTGGTTATGTTGCTGCCGATGGACAACGCATAGAAAATGATTAGAGAAGTGAAGGCAATACTTGGGCCATTTAACGTAAGGGAAAAAGAATTCGGGAGACTGGGCTGTCCATCGTTGTTAAAGCCCATGGTTTGATGGGTATTGTCTGGGCCTTCTCGTCAACTTTCTCAGTCCAATAGGGAAAATAAGAAAGAAAAACATTCTATATGCAACAAATTAAATAATATGGTCCTTTAGTTTCGTGAGTATTGTGGCACTAGAGTTGTTCTTCAATCTTCATCATAATGCAAGTTTGATTCCTTATACTTCCATTTTGTTCTGTTTTTTTTTTTTTTCAGCGGAGGAATTGGGTATTAAGG